AGAGACAAAATTTTAGGATGATCAAAATTTCAGACATCTCGTCAATTGGACGTCTAGAACGTGCTCGATCTTCGAGACAAAAATTTCCTTTTCGAAATCAATTAAACACGTCGCAAGATGTATAAATATTCGCGAACTTATGACTCGACCTAATAAAATAACTTGCTCCGATTCGTTCTTGGGCTCTTGGACGTTGAAAGGTTTCAGAGGTCAGATACCTTTGACGTTGTTTGCCAAGGTCATTTCATGGTCGTGGGCAATTCCTGTGGCCACAATTCGAGCGGTCTTAGGAATGCAGAGGGCTACAAGGGGTATAGGTTTGCAAATCCGATTTTAGTCAGCCAGTAGATTCATCCAATGTTAAGACGAGTATGCAGCCAGATTCTTAACTCCTTAAGTGATCCATGAGATTTAAGATTCTAGGCTAAAATTACTTTTCGTTTTTTTTCTGTTATTAAACGATTTGCTAAGTAACGTAGTTTTTTTTATTTAAACCTTTGCACACGAAGCTATTTTTACTTTAAAACTAAGGCATTTACTCCAACGTATAGTACCTTCGATTTAGTATTAGTTTAGTACAGTACTTACAATTTTATCAACTCTTGTAATAATGTAATTACTTTAAAAAATGATGTAGCAATTTTTAGTGGTGCCTTAAAGTCGCCAATCGAATGGAAAAAGTTAATAAAAAGTGAAGAAATAGGTAAAATAAAATGTTGTACAAAATATTCGATTAAAACACTATAATATTTTTAATAAATATTATTGAGCCACATGCGTGCGTTAGGTAAGCCCTTGACTATCATGGGCTATTCACTTAAAGAGTTAATCGAATTTCCAAATTGCCAAATGTTGACAATACAGACCACCTTATAAGTACAGAGGGTTGCAACAAGGGATTTAAGTCTGCATATGCGATTCTAGTGAGCCATTAGATTCATTCAATGTTAATACAAGTCTGCACAACTGTTTGTTGACAAATTCATAATTATTCATCCAAACAGGAAAAAAATGGTTACAATTCGAAGAGTCTTGGGTGTACCGAGGCTTACAACAAGGGATTTAGGTCTGAAAATGCGATTCTAGTCGATCAGTCGATTCATCCTATGCTAAGACAGATTCTGAGTTGTTAGTAACTTATAGTTGAAATTATCACATTCTCTGCCAAGCTGCATTCGACGAAGTGTCAAACGATGTCACAAGGTGTAATTAAATTATTAATTTAAATATATAATATTTAAATTTATTAAATATATAAATTATTATATTAAATATATAATATTTTCGAAATTTGCTCATTTTTCTCAGGTTCGGTACAATAAATTTATTTCTGATCCTTTGAATCGTTTGGTAAATATTTCGCAATATACAGCAAGCAAATAAAATTATTTGGTTATGAATAAATACAAGAACAATATAATAATAAAATAACGAAACCAAATTTATTTATCTAATTTATTTATAAACGGGTTTAACACTTCGGTATAATCAAAATACAGATGGAAAAATCGACACGTGGTCATCGTTTAGGAATCCGTCAAATCTGTTTAGAAAAAATATTTTTCATCGTTTATAAATACATAAATAAAAATTCATTTGGCGCAGGAATGAGTTCCGGTCATTCCGAACATAGCATACGTGGCAGGAAAAGCGTTAATATTCTCGATCGAAGATTGAAATTTCTAGCGAACAGCGATCGAAGTTCGCCGGAGCCAGGTCGAGAAGGGGTTGGAGAATAACAGATCGGCAAGGAGGATCCTTCTGCCGACAGTTTAACTCGGTTTACGTCGGACACGGTATAACCAGGGTGTTGGGTGCGTCCCTGGCTCTTTTTCCCGGCGGTTACTCGCTCGTAAAACAGAAACCGAGCCGCACGTTTACACCGGCACCGGGTAAGCCTGGTCTCCTGCAGGAGGAGCCCGGCCGATGGGCAACGCGAAACCGTTCTCGAGGCGGCTTCCACAAATTAAGCAATTACCCGGACGCATGCTCCTCTCGATTCCGACTTCGCGATGTGGCCCTTCGCTCCTTTGCTTTCCTCCGCCTCTTTTCTCAGAGTTCAACGGCTGTCGAGGAACGGTTCTCTAGAACGCTTAATTGCGTCGCAACCTTCCGAGACAGGAAGCTGATAGCGAGGTTCACGGGTGCGAACGAGGCGAAGCCGAAAGATTGTCCGAAAGGAAAGTGGGGAAAGCGATCCAGGGTTTATAAGAAAGGAAGATGGGAAGACGCGGACGTACAGTGGGACGCGAAAGTAATCGAACGCCTTTTGAAACGGAATAATTTTGTCAAAGTTCGATCAAACGACTTGCATCTTTTTTTTTAATTGTTAATTGTTTTCGAAAAAACAACGAAAATGTAAGAAATGCGTTCTATAGATCTCGGTAACTTATATGCATGCTGAAAATGTCATCGAAATCGGCTGACCTTGATACGAGCGGTAAATAATTAAATATCGCAAAAATCGCAGATTTGTCACGATTTTAAACACTTCCGACAAATAACTGTCAGACGCATTTTTTAAATTTTTCTTATAAACTCATTCAGTTGGAAACGAGAGTTTTTTCGTTTCTGTTGTCATTCGAACCAATTGAAATGTTTGAAAACAATTTTATAGCCGTTGTCTGGTGAACTAATTGCTCTAACATTTCCAAAAAATTTAGATCGCCTGACCCGATAATAAAAAAATTATTCCGTTTTAAAAGGCGTTCGAATACTTTCGTGTTCCACTGTATCCACTTTTTCGGGCATTTTTTCATTGAATAATGACTAAAATTATGATTGATTATTAATCAGAATAAGTTAGTTATTAGTTACAAAAGATTTGTCAAAAGTAATTGCCTTCGTTAGTCACGTTAGACAAAAATACTTTCATTAGTCAGAATTACATATTAATACTTAATTATCATTAGAGTAATTAGCCATAATTAATGTCACTTGTTCGTAATCGTGAGTTTACATTAATAAAAAAAGTATTGTTAACAGAGACATTGTTCACTTATACCAGTAACCATTATAATTATATCGTGCTACATATAATATTAATAATTTTTGTTTACTTACGTATGAATAAGTTCTTTTATTCTATTGTGTTCACAAAAATGTTTAATTTCTGTTAATACCATTACCGAAAGTAAAATCATTTCGTGCTTGCATGTAGGTTCTATGTACACATATCTCCACGTATTAGTAATTTTACAAAATGTTTATAGATAAGCATTTTTAATATTTATTTTCAAAGATTCCAAGATAATAGGAGTTAACCCTTTAAGTAGCACGGTTCGCTAGTGCAAGTCTACACCTGGGTGGCAGCAATTTTCAGCCGCTGGCGTATATATACGTCATAACCACTATACGAAAGTGGCCCGTACGTCACAGCGACTACGAAAAGATTTTGTTGCATTTTATGGGCACGAAAACACGATACAGTCTCGCAAAGAAACAAATCTGACGTAAACATTGAGATATACGAGGAATTTCATAATCTGTACATGTACGTCATTATGACTGCAAACGGACTTATCGGACGGATCATATCGTATATACACGTTATGAATGCACAAGGGGTTAAGAACAATAAGTCGAGTTAGATACGCCTAAACCTATTTTTATAGGGTAGATACGTTCTAGAAAAAACCGCGCAAAAAGAGACATAGTGTACATTGTACAGAGAAAAATAGGGGACCGGTTATTGTTGACACACATGCAAACTGAATGTCACATTATACTCTCAGAAGTGTGATATATTTTTTGATTAAATATGTGTCGCGTAAAAAGATAAGAGCAAACTTTTTGGACTGACGCATACTAGCATTGTATGCACCCCCCCCTCCCCCCAAGTATTAGGACACCAGGTTATTTCGTATAAATTGTAATTTTTCATTCAGTTTAAGCAATGTCTGCGACTTTGTCTGCAAGTTTTATGACATAATGTTGTTGAAATATTGTCGCAAGTGTTTCCATTTGTGGAATTAGTTTACCCATTTGTAACATTTTGCTCACTGAAAGCGTAAGCCGAGTATCTTCACATGTTTTCTGTGTGAACCATGCTAGAAAATGCATGCAACCAAATAGGAACCGAAATAATAGATGAACTGATGAAAATTTTTAATACAAAATTTTCATTATAATGTATATATGTACTTGTTACAGTTTAGTATAGTTAAATTTGAAGTAAATTCAAGAAACTATAACAAATTGCCTATCGGTTTTACAAAAATTAATTTCTTGTAAATGTTCTAATACTTTTGGAGTGCAGTGTACGTATTTTAGTGTACTGCACTAAATATATTTAAAAAGTTACAGTTAACGGGAAGAATTGTCCTTGAAATTTAAACCAATAACTTTTTTAACCACATTAAATCGAACGAAATCGAGAAGAAAACGAAATTGAATTTATTTCTCTAGACCATGTAGATCAAAATGGTGTTAAAAAACATCGTCTAAAAACCAAAATTGGGAGTATACAGTTACTCACAAAATTGAGCGTACACCGTTTAAAACGCAATAACTTTTCTAAAACTGGACTTGAATTTGTTTTAGATGATAGCGGGACTAGTATGCTAAACGATGACGAAAATGCTTCTTTTTTATTTTTTTAATTCTGCTATTACTTGGAATGACAAAAATAAACTCTCGTTTTTTAACTCTTTGCACTCGAAGCTATTTTAACTCGAAATCTAAAATAGTTTCTCTGATCTATAATATTTCCATCTCAAATAACTTACTGCATTTTATACATACGACATTGAATCTTGTGACTCGAGCAATAGTTACGCTTCGCACAGTTTTTTAAAATATAAACACATTCGATGATGTTAAAATTATTTCGAAACGTGGCAGAATAATTTTTATGGCGCCTCAGAGTCGTCACTCGAGTGTAAAATCTTAACTTTGTAAACTAACGTAAGTAGACCGCTGTAACAAAAAATCATTTGCAGCAGAAAAACAAATATTGTACTAAGATAACAGCAATAACGCAGCAACTTCTTTTGTTCCAGACAATGCAGATCTGTGGTGCTGGACCCTACGATCAACACCTGATGCTCGGCGAACACGAGCTCACCGATCACAGTCAAAGTCTCGCGGCTCTCGGTATCTTCCCCGGGGCGCTTCTCACCTTGAAGGTAAGACTTGGCCCATCTTACCTACACTCATACACGAAAGTATTCGAACGCTTACGTTTCTAACATTCAATTAATAAAATATATGTGTTAAACTGAAGTATTTGATATAATATGACGCATATAACAAGGAATGAGTCTTAATTAAGACAGCGTAAGCAAAATTAGAAAATAATTCATTACATAATCATATAAATATAATAATAATATAATATAATAATATAAATATAATAATAATATAATATAATAATATAAATATAATAATAATATAATATAATAATATAAATATAATAATAATATAAAGAAAATAATTCAATAATTCATTCATAGCGTTTTTACAGTACATTGATTGTAAACACGTACCAGAAATGGCTCACAAAAGTATTCGAACGAAACAATTAACAATTATTTAAATTGAACGACTAAAGGTTTTAATAGGAAGTTGATCCACCTTTTGCTTTTATAACAGCCCTAAGTCTGTTTTCCATTGAGTGGACCAACCTAGAAGTAACATTTGCATCTATTGATTGCCATATTTCAATAATATTTCGTTTTAACACTTCTTTCGAAGTAATAACCGTATTTCTTAATCATCTTTCTACTTCATCTCGTAAATGTTCAATGGGATTTAAATCGGGACTTTGCGGTGGATGTGGCACCACGTGTGGAACATTTTACAATACCCATTCTTTGACTATTTTAGCTGTATGCTTCGGATGATCGTCAGACTGAAACCAATAATCGCTAGGTAAATTCAATTTTGATACACTGCTTTTTTAATTTTCAAGCCCGCGCAATAAAAATTCCGATCCGTTTCCTCTGGATATTATCCCGGCGGCATTCGAACGGAAGAAAACTCGAAATTTTGTGGCAATTAGGAGCAGTTGCTCCGATAACGGTCAGAATGGCCCCGCTAATAGGCCACGGGGCAGCGTTGCTCTCTCTGTTATCCCTGGCATTGCATTCCTCGGGACAAACATTCGAGCAAGACCCTTCAGGATCGTCCGAAAAGGTTCGGAAGGGGCCTCGGACGTGTCTCTGTCGCAAGAAAGCGAGGATGGGGGTGCCTGCTTCCAGCTTTCAATTTTCACCAATTATAAACATTCGTTTAATCGGAGAGTTGTCCGGCAGGGAACAAAAGCGTGATCGGTTCGCGCAGAAAACCGCGGGGTTTTTTGCGCGGTTTTTCTATCCTCGTTCGATCGCCTCGGATCGCCTCGAATCAGAAGAAGCGACAGATGCTTTAGTTAGGCACGGACCGGCGACAGTGAACATCGGCCGATCGATTTTTGCCAGGGCCTCTCGTTGCATCGCCGGTAGTCGGAAATCAATTATCGCTGTTGAAACGGATCGCTACACCGGTGATTACCTGAAAAATCCGGCAAAGATACGATCGAGTCGAGTTCCAGCAGCGCGCTGACGGGAATAGAGAGGCAACGGGGCGTGCCCGACAACTTCGATAAATAGTCGGCTACGTAAATGCCCGGTGCCGGGCATAACTCGCGGATTAGTCAGCCGCGTTCGCCACGGACAGATCGGTTTCTGCTTTTTCATCGGTCGCGACTTTTTCCTGCGACGCCGATCGCTCGATCAACGGTCCGATTATCGACCTTTGCACGTTCGAACTTCGATTTTGGTCGCGGAAACGGCCGACGATCGGTGTTCGATCGAGAGCAGACGGAACGTGAGATCTTTCATGATCGGCTGGAGAGAGCTTGGCGACAGTCGACGGTCCCAGAAACGCGTGTCATTCAGAATTCACATTTATCGACGGACAGAGAGTAACGTTCCCATTTCTGTAGTCGAGACGATTTTTCGATTGAACCGGTGTACAGTAATGTCTCTCTAATTGACGCCCAGATTGGCCACAAAAATGGACAATTTGGGAAGAGAAGATACGATTAGTCCAGCCTTGCGGTTTATTTTTATAGTTATAAATTGTCCACAATTATAAGAACGAGCCGCAAGACTCGTATAATCGTATCTCCTCTTCCCAAATTATCCATTTCAGTGGACAATCTGAGCGTCAGTAAGGGAGACATTACTGTAATTGCACGATCGATGTTGTGTTAGTTACTATCGATACTGACAACGTTGACTGTGCGGATCTTTATCATAAAATTAAAATAAAAATGAAAAATAAAAATGATCTTCATCGATTCTAATAAGCATGAGTCAAATAGACGGTTTCAACATCCTTAAATAATTCCAGCCAGCTGAAAATAATATATAAATGTCTTCAGATTCTTTTAACATTCTCATTGTTTTCAATTTCACCTAACAATTTTTATTATAAATACATAAAACACGCAGTGTATGTAATATCATAATTGCTATGATATCGAAGTCAGAGTAATTAACAGCTTGTTTTTTATAACATATGTATCTACTATGTTATCAAAAACAAGCTGTTAATTACTCTGACTTCGATAACATAGCAATTATGGTATGAACTATATATAACTACCTAATATCAATATATTATATAAATATATATATAAATCAATATATTTTATTATAGCAAAATATATTGATATTTTTATATTAAAGTATAATGTTATGTCAGTGTTTTTATAGTGAAAATTTATAAGGCTTTTAAACGTATTACTTACAATCGATGATTTTATCAATACTTGCTATGTCATCAAAAGGAATAGTAAAAAAATACCGGTATTTATTTTGGTTTCGGTATTCATACATTTCGTTGTTCATAGATTTCAGTAGTACAGTAAATTCTCTCCAATTGTTCCTCAGCTTGTAAAGAAGCATGGGCAGTTCGGAAAGAGGATTTATGATTATTCGAGCCTTGCGGCTCGTTTTTATAGTCGCCGATTGTGCGGATTTTATTCATTTATGGCAAAAGTGGGTAGCTACAATTTAAACTATTATAAAGATTAAAAAAGAATTTAAAAATATTAATCTATTATTTTTCATCCATTAAAAAGATTAATGAAAGAATGAACTTGCTATTTAGTGTCTATTTCTTGCAATCCATGCAGACAATTACTATTTTGCATAAAAATCCATTGTCTAGTGATTAACAATTGACAGCACGGAAGCGTTTTTCTGGTTTCGTTTAACTTTTAAATTTACTAATTGCAACTAATTACAACTACACAAGTGAATTTGTTAAATTATATCTTTCGTTGAATTATACAGAACAAAATGTGTCGTCCAATCACGATAACTACGTGATTCGTGCGATGACAGGAAAATTTTCGTGTCACGCGAACTCGTAGAACGCGTTATCGCGTAAAACGGGAGCCTAGTGTGAATTATTATTTGTTTCATTGCAATGTTCTCGTTCATATTAAACTGAGAAAATCTCAAAATATCGTCGCGAGTGAACGGAACAGGATCCACGACACCATGAGGTTCGGTACCCGAATTTCGATATCTGAGACAAACTGCAAACAATCCGTCTTCTTGGAAGAAAATTTCTTTGGGAAAAGCTAGCCGGTAAATCTTTTTAATGTCTTGGCCCCAAAAGAGAATGTGGATACTATAAAACTTGTAGGAACTTTTTCATCGTTCGACTCGTTGATATCGCGTTTATAATCGATGTCTCGCGCTCGAGGATGTTGCAAGCTTTCGGCAAATGTTTTCGAAAGATCGTCGAAGCTTCCGCTTCGTAGGAACGGTCGCGATCGTTCATGGTAGCGAGTTAATCGTCGCCGGAGCGATACATTTGTCGAGCACGCGGGCACGGAGGACAGTGACAAACAGGTGCAATTTAGATTTAAGATCTAGCTACCGTTTCCCTTAAGCCCGAGACAATGGATAAGTAACGTCGGCAATGGTCCAAGATAACGGCAAGACCGCCGATTTCGTCTTGGGATTAGCCGGAAACGTCGCCCATGAAGATTAGAAGTGTTAATTGGCCTCGCGCTGCTGGAAGATTAGGTCTCCGAGGCGAGATTCAGCTCTGGACGATCTTCTTTATCTTGCGGCCTTGCTGATAACAATCCTTCCGATCCTCTCGAGTCTCTCGTGTCTCCGGTCTCGGATTTTCTTACAGCAAATGAAATTCCCCGAGATCGGACGAAAACTGTATTTCATTCGCGCGAATTTCATTCTTCTATCCAGCATCCGTGCTTCTTAACCTTCATCTGTATCTTCTTTCGACAGCGTGATCCGTTACTTCGATATCAAATCGGCTCGATGCCAAAAGATGAATAAGATGGAACAATAAACAATTAATTGCATAAATTTCATCTTTAAGGAAAACCCAAGTCGAGGTGAGACAAGTTTTAACGTTCATTATTCACGTTGTTCGGAACTAATAAAACGATTTATAGAACAGATTATTTTTTCTAAGAGAAACATTCTCAGGCTATTATTGGAGCAATTACCGATATGATCCTAGTGTTATTGTCCAAAATATTTAATAATATATCTTAACCTTCATCTATCCCTTATTTCGACAGCGTGATCCGTTACTTCGATATCAAAACAGTTCGATGCCAAAAGATGAATAAGATGGAACAATAAACAATTAATTGCATAAATTTCATCCTTAAGGAAAACCCAAGTCGAGGTGAGACAAGTTTTAACGTTCATTATTCACGTTGTTCGGAACTAATAAAACGATTTATAGAACAGATTATTTTTTCTAAGGGACACATTGTCAGGCTATTATTGGAATAATTACCGATATGATCCTAGTATTATTGTCCAAAATATTTAATAATATAATATCTTAACCTTCACCTGTCTCTTCTTTCGATAACGTGATCCGTTACTTCCGTATCAAATCGGCTCGATTTCAAAAGATGAATAAGATGGAATAATAAACAATTAATTGCATAAATTTCATCTTTAAGGAAAACCCAAGTCGAGGTGAGACATGTTTTAACGTTCATTATTCACGTTGTTCGGAACTAATAAAACGATCTATGGAACAGATTATTTCTTCTAAGGGACACATTCTCAGGCTATTATTGGAGCAATTACCGATATGATCCTAGTGTTATTGTCTAAAATATTGTAAAAATTTATGTCAT